CCGCTGGGCTTGGCTGGCACAATATTGTAGTGCGAATTCTGGATGTTCCTTGTAGTTTGGCAGTTAATTGCAAAGTCAAAATCGCAGCTAATCTCCTTGACTTCCAGTCACCATTCTTGCAGCAATGATGCTTTATTCTCGATAATGTTATTCGGTACTGATTTAACAAGGGATGCTTGTATATTCATATCGGATCATTGGGCTTCTACACTGAAACTGCTACTATGACACAAGGGGCTTCAGTCGTAATAGTTGGAGTTGTGGGAACTGGAGGCGATGGGGAGGTTCGTCCACTCTGTGGGTGAACATGCTTTATCGACTTTCCACTCATTAAAAGCTGGGGCTTGGTGTAGGCTGGCAAATTGCTGGTAAACAAAACGTTAGCTTTATTGTCAGCTGCCTTTTGCTTCCGACACATACTGTGTCTAGATGTTCTTCATTAGTACAGCTCTAAGCTGTGAACACCGAAGTACTGAAGGTACCCTAATTTTATATGGGAATTCTGCTTATTCACGCACACTTCGAGTTGGTCTGGACTTTTAGGGCACAGTCGTGGACAGCAAAATGCTTACATCGTAGTCGTGGGCGGCAAAGTGGTTGTCGACGTAGTCTTCGGCGGCAAAGTGGTTATCGTCGTAGTCTTCAGCGGCAGAGTGTTTGTCGACATAGTCGTCGGCGGCAGAGTAGTTGTCGACGTAGTCTTCGGCGGCAAAGTGCTTGTCGAGGTAGTCTTCGGCGGCAGAGTGTTTGTCGACATAGTCGTCGGCGGCAGAGTAGTTGTCGACGTAGTCTTCGGCGGCAAAGTGGTTGTCGAGGTAGCCGTCGGCGGCAAAGTGGTTATCGTCGTAGTCTTCGGCGGCAGAGTGGTTGTCGACGTAGTCGTTGGCGGCAAAGTGCTTGACGTCGTAATTGTAGCCGCAGTTGTTGACGGAGGCTGGGTTGACACCGAGTCGCAGCACCGCAGGCCAGTAGAGCCACGCCTAGTGCACGAGCTGACCGTGCAAGCCATGAACCGCTTCCTGCTGCACCATCTCACAGCGTTCGCACCCCCCCTTGCCGTGATGCATTTACAAGGACACCGGCCCATTGGGGACGTGGTAGGCCGTGTAGAGTGAGTGCCGCAGCACCAGCTGCCTCCGCGACTGCAAGAGCGGACCCGACAAAATCTCCTTCGCCGACAGTCGCGCCTTGCGAGGAAGGCTCGACGTCTGGGATAGCATTTGCATGGGCACCTTCTTATGTCAAACACACTTCGCCTGGAGCGAGGAGCGGGGATCTGGGCTGCTAGGACAACACCGAGCAGAGACAAAAGGGCTAGAATGAAGACGTTCTTGGACATTTTCGGGGCGTGGAGATACGACACGGGCTTGTTGAGAGTAGCAAAGTGCAAGTTGAACCGCAAGGCATCTGCGAATATAAGCACATCGAGATACAGGAAATCGAGGCGAGGGAAGCGATCGTCGTGAATGGTTTAGAGAGGCAGGAGCGACTTCTAAACGCGCAACGCCAGAGCAATTCTGTATAATTCCCAGGCTTGGGAGAGCACAGCTCAACTCAACATTCAATTGTCCCTCTCTTCCAATAAATACGACCAGTAAATAATTTCAACATCACTCTTCAATTTTTCCCTAAAGGTTGACAACTGAACTACTTGCTCCCCGCGGCGCAGGTTGTCCACAGACTGTCGCCACATGGTAGTGAGCATTTCGTGCAGTACGGCATTTCTAGGAAGGAGATGAATCGATATGATTTTTGTGATCTCACAAATCCACTGATAGGGTTCACATTTGACATATAACCTGTATGCACATCACTGTGTGCTGCTCTTGTTGATGTACCCTTTCGGGTAGTGTGTTACAGGATTACCGTACCATAATGCATGCGTACGTGATAGGTACTGTTTCCAAAAAGCTCCTTTGCAGAACTTAGGAAGCATTTGACTTTAGCATTTCGTACAATCCATCCGACAGTTTCCCTGTGATCTACGCGGCGTCCTGTTTTGCCTCCTGCGATTCAGGCATGTTTATTTCTGCACAGTAAAGGTCGGGAGGCGGTTGCAAGAATTCTGCAACAGAGTTCTAACGTAGTAAATGATGGGGACGAACTAGCTTCGCTTTACGGACATTGGACGCAAAAAAAGGAGATATACCTTGGGGCGTGGTCCAAGTTTGAGACAAGACCACACTTGTAGACGTGCCGCACTGCTACATGTCTCCGCGGAAGTGCTGTTCAAGCTACGCATTGACGCTAGGTCGTGATCGCCTATATATTTCTCTACACTACAGCGTGCCCGCAGGGGCACCAAAGGGTGCATGAGCATACAACACTTTTCTCTTCCGTCTCCGTCCGTACCTTCCATGCGTTTGCGCGCATGTGGAGCTGCCCCGGATGCACGAGCGCTCGCGCGCACGAAAGAAGGGGCTGCATCATCCTGCACACTGGGACGCGGTGCCGCGTCCAACCGCTCGCGAGAAGGCTCACTTTTTCCAGGCGACCCTGCCACGTCATGAAAGGGGGCCAACAACGCTGCACGAAGGGGGGCGGCCCCAAGCACACTGGCGCTGGGGGAAGCTCGATCGTTCAAGCCGCTCCTGACGCCTTTGCAACTAGAAATGGTGCTTCTGCAGCGCGCGGAGAGCATTTTGGAGTGCCGTTTTGGACCCTGCGCGCGACGCAGTGCCACTGTCGCTCGAGTGGGCTGCGGTGCGCGCGCATGGCTCCAAGGAAAGACCCTGTCCTGGCACTGTGCTATTCTGGAAGCGGCCGAGGCGCAGCTGTTTTCAGGATTTTCCCGAAATATCGAAGCAGAGCGCCGTGCCGCCGCCACCCCCCATCGGTACACGGCGAAATGGTAATTTCTGGATGGACCATCCAGAAATCGCACTGTTGTGACTGTGATGCCATTAACACCGATGCCCGCTCTCCCTTGGGGGAGAGCGGCCGGCGGTGACTTTATGGCTGATTCGTCGTGCCCAATGTGCCTGTGTCTACCCTTCTGTGTTATTCTATCTGGGTGCAAGCACAGCCGCTAATAGCCTATAGTAAGATATCGGTTTTTATCGCACAACATTGTCAATCATCATCAGTCGTGACGGCAACGATGCAGCATGCCGCCTTCTAAGAGCGGGTTTGCAATGAACCATTCGGAAGCCATGTTTATGTGCGACGTCATGATTGTAAGCATCTGGGGATCCGGACCAGTTTGTGGCAATGGCCTAACCGGTTACTAATGTACAGTACCCTTGGGTACTTGGGGTTCGTTGCTATAAAACAGGTTGCTATCGTCCACAGCAGGCGCCTTGTTTGAAGCATCCACATGCGGCACCTTCAGAATCTCGACCAATCGTGCGTGGCACTGGGTGTTGAACTCACACGATAGCAGAAGAGGAGCTTCTCACAGGCAGGAAAGCTTGGGCTGAGGCAGCAGCCAACTCAGTTACAGCTTGCTGCTTTAGATGCACTCTCGCCACTCGAGTGGCGTCGTCATGTATGGTATAGCCTTACTCCGTACCACGTGCTATTTTTGGTCGTCCTGTGCCCTAGCTAAAGTCCTTCCTTTCATGTAGTCCTTATGACTCACCATGTACACTATGTGGTGTGGTTGTCCTCCCGTAGCACGGAGAGTAACAACAGGAACAGCGCGTCTCGTAGCACGGAGTCGCGGCGAGAGACGGAGCGAGGTGCGCTTCGGTCCACTCGTCTCGTCTAGATACCCGTAGGACAAGGTGGCGTGGCGTGTGGGTTCGCGGGTGTTGTGGTTCTGGTTTATTGCTGAAGATCTTGTTTTTCTCTCCCCCCTTCGCCCCGGGATGGGAGTCGCATGCTACATCTAATGTATAGCGGTCGGGGGGTCTCACTTGATCGGCGACCGTGAGGTGGAGTCAGCGACAATTGCGGTTGTACGCGTGTAGGTCGTGTCCGTGCTGTACACGTACTCCAGGCTGGACACGTGTGGGTGTACGCAATGACTCTGGGGGTGGGTGCGCGAAGTGAGGATAGAACGTCGGATGAGCCCACCAACATAAAGTTTAGAGAGAGTCCTGTACTGCCGCCACCTACGGTCCTCTACAGCGGAGGCTTTCAGAACAGATACGGGCTCCGTCAGCTTGTGATGAGGGGAAAGGGGTTAGTTTCGTTCCTCTATTCTCGAAAATGCGCGTATTGCACAGTAAGTTTACTTCCACTAAACACACCCCTCCTCTTGGGGGGTTTCAACCGTTTCAGTGGGATGCCCGAAGAACGAAGCACGCGGCCCACACGTTCACTGGTCCAATGCGCCGGTCCAACTGCCCATGGGGGGGCCCTTTCTTGTCCTGAAGTTGTCTTCTGGTCATTCTGTTCATAAAACAGCTCGTTTACATTCGTTTCTCGATCTATACCGCGTCGCTTGGGCGGCGATCAACAGAACATCTTCCACGTCATATTTGGAAGAAGTAAATTCTAGTCTCCCATCCGGTGGAAGCCTTTGTCCAGCACTGTGGTAAGCGATTATATGCAGATCATGCAGTGCCTCCAATTGATCTCCAGAAGCACTAGAAAGCGAGCCCGCCATCTCTCACATTTTTGTGGCAAAGCCCTCTATCAATTGCTGCTTACATCGCATCCTTTTCGACTGGTCTTGCGCCTTTACTAACAAACGTCGTATGGTAGTCTTCGGACCACTTCTGATTTGTATATCCGAAGTAGTTTGCATCACCACTATTGTAGACGGTCCATTCACATTCATCCCATCCGTCCCAGTTTCCAGGGCTTGCCCAGCCTTTGCTATTAGCTGTGGCTCTAAACAAAAACATTTCAGCAATCCCTCGGTGGTCGATAAACATCCCAGTGACCAGCCGCATTATGCCGAGAGCAGCCACGATGCAGAACACGGTAAAAGATGTCGTTGACAGACCTCGCCAAATTCCTTACCGGGTGTTGAAATACCGTCGACGAGCTCGAATCTCCATATGTTTCTATTTTGATAACTGTTCCGAGTTGCGGCGTTGGAACAGGTACATATGTTTGTTCGGCGAATACAAGCCGGACTTTCACACTATCACTCTAGGCACTGCCCCTGGCCCTGCGCGCGCCCTCACGCTCTCAACTTGTCGCTCATGTCGGTAGCAGAGAGCTGCTTGCCCGAAAGAGACTCCAAAAGCATCGCAGCAAATGCATAAAGTTTAGTGACACAGCCATGGCATGGCGCTAAAAGCACACGGTGGGAGGGCACTTGGTGTGCAGGACAGGCGCCAGGGGTGCCATCGCGGCGAGGGAGAGGGAAGACGCTTGGAAGGAACACTCCTTTTTAGGTGTATGCCTGGAGCCTGGAGCAGGGGGGACACGTCCGAATCTGTGATTCAGATTTCGGCATTACAGTCAATCCTCGCTGCTGTAACTGCATGCTCGGTTTCTGCATATTCTCGATTACTGCATGTGTTCGTCAGCTACCGGCTACGGAGCAGCGATTCCAGCCTGTATATGATATTGAACTGCACACCGCATAACTGCATGAAGAAAGTGATCCTTAATCATATCGAACCCTCATACAAAGGCTTTCTATGAAACAGGTAAAAACTTATGACAACAGATATGCAGTGCTTCGCCACCGCCACCGGTGCTTCCTCACCGCCGTCGGACCCGGATATCTGATTTTTTGAATAAAAACGAGGCATTTGGACACTTTGACGTGCATATGTTCGCCAACTGCATACGAAAACCCTCCACTTTTCAGATGCAGTTAGCCCTGTTCTCGGCCTCCAGTGCCACCACTTTTCCGGGCCGGTCGGAGTTTTTAGACCTTACGCAGCTTCCCGTCGTAGTTAAGAAACTTTAGTCTGATCGTTGGATTCGCGCCACTCTCCCCGTTCTGTTAGTATTGGTTTCGTCCTGAACAAAGCGCTACTCTGGGCGGGGCGCCTGTATACTTTTTCATGGTTTGGACCGATAAGGATTTCGGGCCTAATTGGCACTTTGTTGAGCTACTCGAGCACTTTTTCTACGGAGCGTGCTGGAGTGTTCCGAAATTCACTGGCCTTTTTCAAGAATTTTGAGCCCACTGCAGTGCCCTTGCACCTCATTCTCCTATTGCACCGTGCGATACCGCAGGAGCACTGGAGTGTCACTGTCGCGAATAGTGCCCTATGGTGCGATTACGGCATCTCTGGTGCCTCACTGTAGCATTGTAGAACATTCTGAGGTCTTTTTCATGAAGCGAGAGCTGTTGTGATCCTTTCTAAATCCTTTTATACACATCTCCGAGCTGCCAACTACGCAATGCATACAGCCTTACCATGTTGAGGATACAAGATATCACATAAAGTGTGGAAGTATCTGTCCCTCGTCTACTTTAATAATATCATTCTATGTATTTCTACCTCTAGTTCGCCGTGTGAAACGGGCAGCAAACTCAGTACGATTTTCGTCTGTTGCCTGCCTGAGCTTCAGTACGGGAACTGAATGCCAGGTTTCCCAGCAGTTCTCACAAATAGGCTGGCAACAGGTACTGCACCATTGTGACCCATGTGAGCCAAACTTCTTGTTGTGCTCCTTACCTCGTTCTTTGTGGGTGACAGTGTAGATACATAGAAAACAAAAGGCCCGATTGGCAGACACAAGATCGTGTGCAAGATTCTTATTAAGCCTGCGAACCTTGGCAGGTCCCAAATTATAGCGTTCCGCTGCTCTTCGCGCAAATGCGGGTTTCATAATGGCTTTGTCTCCTACTCTTTTTATCCCGTCCGGACCTTTGGATACATGCTCTACCTACTCCTTCGCCAGCTCACGGGCAAATCTGCCGAATGTATCACATTGTGATACACGGTGGCGGAGGTTACTGTAGCCTTTTTGCCCTTTAAAATGTGAGTGAGATTCTGTGAGGAGGCCTTTGCGCTCTGCAACACTGAGGCGGTGCATCACGGCACCATTGTTAACTTGCATCGTGAGAAGCCGTGCAATTATACTTACAACGGGGTTCTCCGACGTGTTAGTTCTTGACAATGTCTTTAAAATTCTAGATACCACGTCAACACCCCCTTTGACCAGGTTCCAAAACACAGCCGGCGTCAGCCGAATCATCCTTGAGGGGTGCAGCGGAAGGCCACGTTTCTGAATGGGTCTTATGATTCCGAGGCTGATAGAATAGTACGACGCAAAGCTGTGCAAGTCGGATGCATAGCTTTTCTTCAGCAAAGTGTCGTATTCTCGGGGTATCTCCTCTGGCTTTAGCCCAATCCAGAGAAATGCAGACTGCTCTACTGCCTCAAGACACCAAGTGTACTGATGCAGTAGCAGGCTCTTGAACTCCAATACGGCTGCATAAATAATCCCACCTGTAGCAGCTCGGCCTCCGTTCCCGACGACGTAAACAACCTGCCTCACACCCAGCACGGCTGCATGATGCAGGCATTGTGCCTTATTTTTAGAGGATGGTATAACCTTTTTAAATAGTTCTGTGTCTTCTGCATCACCCCCAATATCAGAAACTACTATTAAAGGGCCGCAGTGTGAACTGATTAACTTTGCGTCCTCTAACGTTTTTGGGGCCGTCATAGTTTTCACTTCAATTGCAGCTGGATGAGTTCGTTTCAGCTCCCCGATGTAAATTCCACACAGTGCGTCTGGACTGTCGGCCAACATCGTGTTGACAGGATTACATACCAGTCCTGTAGCTCTAATAAATGACACATTCATGCCATGCCCGCTTACTCTAGAGTACACTGTACTGTTCTGTGAACTCTGTTCATTCCTTCGATAGACACATTCTGTTTTCGTGAAGAACTCTGGGAGGGCCTGTAACACGTATAACTCATTCAAAGAGCCCTCCCTCATGCCAACTGTCGAAACCAACGGCTTCATAACCCACGCCTGTAGGGAAGCCTCTTGAAGAGCCCGTATGAGCTTTACGGATTTAGATGACCAGCTTTCCTCTTCATTCGTGTCAGCAGGATGCGTTTGTGGCACAACTAAATGTCCGGTTCGCAGGTCATCCTGTGCCTGAACCAATGCATCAATAAGATGCCTCTTCAGTAGTCTACCCTGCACCTGTGGCATGCGGTCCAACTTTTCCAAGATTTCTATCAGAGCGTCGCGCCTCTCGCCCGCTTTTCTAGATCGATACATAATAAGGACTGCCTCTTTCAGCATGGCACTGTCTAGCTGGGCGGGAGGGCGGCGCTTCTGGACCCCGAGGGCCCCGAAGACAATATCGAATCTGCCGTTGACACGTATTTTGCATGCATTTGAGTCGTCTGGAAGGGGCTCAGCACCACTCCATATTGTTCGCCCTGCTAGAAGGTGTGAAAGCCCTTCAATGCTTGCTTCATAGTTTCCAGCTACGGCCTGTAGAAAGCCATGGGATGTACGCGACGTAAATTTAAAAGCCCGCAGCAGAAACTACACAGGGTCCTCACTTTGATAGAAAGTCAACATGACCACCTTATTTAAAACCTGTTCAACTGCAGTTCGTCCTGCATTGTGTGGGACTCCGGTGTGTCTAGGCGCACTCCTGCCCTCTTCTACAGCGTCAAAGATCGTCTGTTTGATGACGACGTCATGGAGACCTTCATTATCTCCCCGAAATCTGTCGTATGGGACCACTGTCAATCCCCGTGACCTGAAAAGGCGGGGGTTATTCACAACCATAGAGGATATGCGCCCTGAGCAGCTTTCTCTACATAGAACGGCTTCTACAGTACGCCCGTTGTTCACAGCAGAACTCGTCTTCAAGCGAGCATTGTAGACTGCTCTACAGCCCCACTCTGAGACCACCATGCCCCGGTGACGGGCCCGAATAGCCCCATCCCCAAAAACGTAGGGGTATGAAAGATCTCTCTTGTGGGTTCCTATTAAACTGATTCCAAGAACATTGGACAAGAAGTCCAGAACCTCCTTAGAGTTATACCCCCTATCGGCCGCCACAATAGCATCCGTCATTGGATGCAAAGAACCAGTTGTAGCAGCGCCTTGTATCATTTGAATTAGCCTCTGCCATATATGAATGATGCGCTCCCCCACTCTAGCAAAGTGGCATGCGAAGAATACAGGATGTAAAGCGGAACAGGCTGCATTACCGACAGGACCAAGGCCTTTTTTTGGGTTGTTATGTTGGGCTAGACTTGTCACGGTGATAACCGCCCTGTATGACATGCGTAGATGATCATCATGTAGGGACATTATAGTAGATCCGGGAACATAAAGCAGCCTTCTGTTACATGCTGCCACCTCCTGCTCGATCTCTAGAATTAAAGCCGTAGCTCTTGTGTTGCTTCTACACCAACCCGTGCCGCTGTAGTCAATAGCATTGCGCCTGTCACGGGCACCACTCAGAGCTGACCAGACCTGCATGTATCTTTGCGAAGTGATACCGATTTGAAAGAAGTGCTCGGACTCGTCAGGGTCGCAGACGGTGCTGGGAGACTCATCATAACTTGCGCATAAAACCTGCAAGATAATGATTCCCAGCATCTCATGGGCAGAAGTCGGAGGTTGCCTCCGCAGACGTAGTCCTCCGTTGGCTACCGCAGCCAGCTTCTGCATTAAACTCTCCTGCAAGAATGTCCTGACAGTCTCAAGACGAGTGAAATTCTGACCCTCATCAACAGCTGTACGACTGGTAACCCTACAGGATGCAATAAGTCGGCGAGTTCTTATGTCCTCCCCGACATGTAACAACATCTGTTTAGCTTCCTCCAAATATCGGCCATATAGATTCCTGTCGACATCGTCGAACTCTACTCCAACTTCCGCGAAGGGGGAAATGTACTCCCATTTATGTAGTCCTTCTTCCTGGTCGTTACACGCACGCTCTGCAGCTTCCTCTTCTGTAGCACAGGGTTCTACCATATTCGCATTTAATTGGTTAGCCCATCCATCCCAACGTTCGTCGTCCGCCTCATAAAAGAGGCCAGAGTATAAGTCCTCAGACACAGCGCCAACTGAGGTAGGCATTTCAACAGAATCAGATACAAAAGCAGAGAGAGGACGCAAAGAACGAGGTTCTCTTTCATCAATATCACATTCAACATCGGAGCCTGTACTGCTGTTTGTGCAGCTGTCCATATCCGTTGCCTCTAGAATACCAACGGCAAGATTTTCCTGACTGAACGGGGCATCGTCCCCATCTAACGACTCTGCGTTAGCCGGGTCGTTTTCCAATTCTGGAAGGGGGGCCTGCGTAAGA